CAAAGTTATTAACAAATAAAGGAACAAACAGGGAACACGGCAATAATTATCCCCACAAAAACCGACTCAACTAAATGTACTTGAATAAGTAAGAACAAGTTGAAGTAAGTGAGTCACAAAAGGGAAGATAATTAATTAATTCAATTTATGTTCTAAAGGGAGTACTGACTAGCAAACAAGAATTTAAGGGAATAAGTAATTGTATAATAAAATAAGAGTGCTGCCGGAAGGGTGAAAATACACCGTTAAGGAGTTAGACCAAACGAATATTACTTAACATGACTATATTACACAGACATACAATATATATACAACAATCACAACAAAATGGTTATTTCCTATCAAACAGGAGATTCCTTAACACCAGGATCCCTTCCTAGGCCTAACTGAACGTGTCACTAATACCTGATACCACTAGGGCATTGCAGAAGACTGGACAAAGCACTAGACAAAGGTAGAGGCTAGAGAAAGAATGGACACGTCTATCCTATGCCACGGTTTTTCGCTACTCTGCGAGAGCGTCCCCACGCGGTAAGGAGCGTCTCATATCACGTGATCCAGGACATTTGCTAGCTAGTTTATATAATTAATTAATACTACTCTTAGTTTGACTTAACGGAGTAACACAAATGATGCATATTAATAACATACATAAATATACAATTAACCTAAGTAACTAAGAACAACAATAGTATAATAAGTACAATTAACAAGTTATTAATAGCTTATGTGGAATGGAGGCATGAACTTATGCCTCACGCCATGTGAGTTCCCGAGCGCTCAGGCACGTGACAGTGGGTCAAATTGAGCAGTATTTGCATGTGTTCTGGGTATCAAGTTCTATCTACAGGAGCGAACACAAACACCTGTAGAGTTTTCGTAGGTTCTATTTACTGGATAAACAGATATGTACACAAGGGAGGTGGCGCTCCTTACTCTGTATGGGGGTCAACTAGCCTTTCGGGCGACATGTGGTAAGTGATACATTAGCAGCTTCCATATATCGCCAGGCACATTAATTAAGCGTGTGGGACATGGTAAATACATTGCCACACGCTGCTAGCTAGGCTGAATAAATAGTGTATATAAATGGAGCACATACATAATGTACATACAGCATATATAATATACATACATAATATACATACAGCATACATAATATACATACACCTCCTTCCCCCCTATACGCTCATAGCAAAGTCTTGAGCGGACCTTTTGTTTTGGATCCATTCTGAGCGTCGAAGGACTTGATCACTGGGAAGGGTATGGGACTCAACACTGGTGGCGGGGTCAGCAGAAGGCTTTGTTACGGGGCGGCGAAAACGGCGGTTCCTCTACCACACACGACCACTGGGTAACAGCACGTGGTAGTTCCGTGACCTACCGAGACCCATGACTACGCTCACTTTGTCCCAACGTAGGGAGGTCGGGTCCTGAACAAGGACTTGGGTGCCAACAATCAACCTGGGGAGAGAACGGGCGTGGTCGTTGTAGCGGGCGACTACGTCTTGAACACGTTCGGCGGCTCGGCGATCGCAATCCTCTGTCTTGGCCTGCCACTCCTTGGAGAAAGATTGAGGGTGAGCAGGGACACAAGAACGAAGGGGGCGTCCATACAAAACCTGGGCAGGGGAGTGTCCGGTGTAGTTAGGTGTGTTGCGGAGATCAAGAAGACCCCGGTCGAAGGCCTCGCAGTCAATGTTCCCAGAAGGGGCCACCTTAAGGATGAGGTGCTTCAGGGATTTGACAGCAGCCTCAGCGTGGCCGTTGGACTGCGGGTAATAGGGCGATGACAAGACATGCCGGGCTCCCCATCGGTCAAGGAACACAGCAAAGTCCCGGCTTGTGAACTGGGGACCTCCGTCGGTTTGCAGGCGTACAGGAACGCCCACGTCACGGAAGTAGTGGTGGAACTTGCTGTTGGTGGCGGCAGACGTCGTGTCATTACCGCACTTGATGACAACCGGCCAACCAGAGAGACGGTCGATGATAACAAGGAAGGACTTTCCTGACACAGAGAAAAAGTCGGCCGACACAGACTCAGAGGTGTCACTGGCAAAAGGTAAGGGTAGGGCGACAGCAGGGTAGTTGCTGCTCCCTTCGTGCACCCTGTTGGCGTGTTTTACCTCAAGAATTGGTTTGGGGAAGCCCTGGGAGATGATGGCCAACTCTTGACAATGTCTGTAGGACAGCAAAGGAGTCGGGACACCTTTATGCACATCAATCCAGGCTTGACACGACCTGTTGCCAAAGGTGACTTGTGCTTGGAGATCCTTGGGTGGTGGTCCTAGATCACTTGGAGAGAGCCCCAAGCATTGCAAATGCTGGGGACCGATGACTGTAGCATCAGCGCCGATGTCGGGCAACATCTGAAGACAGGATGACACACTGCCGTAGGTCACGATGACGCTGATGTGCTTGGGAACTTTGGTCCTGGGACGCGAGGGGGAGTACACCTTCCTAATATGGCTCGAGCGTTGTCCAGGGTCGTCATGCTTCTGATCGGAAGACTGTGGGCGGCCCTCACTGGTGGAAGGGCACTGCTGCTTCTGCCGACGCTGTCCCTTGGGTTTGTTGGTATGGCAACACTTGTCGTAGTGGCCCAAACGACCGCACACATTGCACTGGACGCGTTTGGCTAGGCACCATACTGTGAATGACCAGTGGCCCTTACGGTCACAACTGTTGCAGGTAGACTCAGCAGCTGGACACACCTGTGTTCCGTGCTGCTTACCACAGTTGTTACAAAAGGAACCGAAGTGGGCGAAGGCGTTGGAGTGGACTTCTTGTCCTTCTAGTACCGGGACACAACGTGTACAGCTGTAGGGGGAGCTCGGATGGCAGAGGTGGCACATCTGGCAGCCTCATAGGAGCGGCATATCGTCAACACATCCTTAAGAGAAGAGGAAGAGTTGAGGGAAGTGAGGCGTTGGACAAGTTCCTCGTCCTTAACACCCATGAGGATCACCTGCTTCAACTGGGTCTCCTCGCACTGCTGGTGGTTACCTGGGCATATATCTACCTCTTCCAAAGCATTCTTGAGTCGTACATAAAAGGCATCAAAAGTCTCGCCCTCCATCTGTCTGCAGCTAAACAATTCCCTCCTGCGTAGAGTTTCATTCCGCTGCCCTCTGATGTGCCGTTGTAGAATGTCCAGTACCTCCTCTACAGATGACAAAGAGGTCGGAGGTACCTGCAACGTATGTTCCAAGACACGCTGAGTGTCCAAGGACAGGCACATACGCAGCTGAATAAGTTGTTTAGGCTGTGACAAACTCTGGAGATCCACCATTGTAGCATAATCAGACCACTGTCGCCGCCATTCACGAAAAGTCTTGAAATGCACATCAGGCTTCAAGATGGGCGGTGTTTGAGCAGCCGCTTTAAGTGGGGCTGGGGGGGCGTAAAGAAAGCATTGATGAGGTATCTGAACCAGTCGATACCAAGGCAGTGTTAGAGCCAGGGGCTTGGTTAACAGTGAGGCGAGATATCAAAGCTTCAAACCGTGCACTGTCTTCCACTCTCCGTTGGTGGTCTCTCTCTGCCTCTGCTTGTCTTCTTTTTTCATTCTCCACAAGTCTGTTAGCTTCGTCATCGCGCCTTTCATCCCTCATGAACTTCATTAAAGCAATTATCTCTGAAGACAATGCTGAATATCGAGGTGAAGGGCTGCGCGATGTGGTGGGAGCTGGAGCGTCCTGTTCAGCCTGGTCATCCATCTCTGCCGAGCTGTCATCCGACTGACTCATCCAGGCGTTTGCTCCACGACTGCATAAGGCACGAGACTTAATTACTTCATCTGTGTACTGTGTCTTAAATCAGTGTTGACCGGTCAGCCCGTCGTATCAACAAGATCTGAGACAAAAAATTAATTAAATGCACAGATAAGTAGATTATATATATATAAAATATATATATAAAGGAATGGCCACAGTCAGTGTGTTCGTACGTGTGTGTGTGTGTGTGTGCGCGTCTCAGGCAGTGTCTCGCTGTGAGGGGGTGGAGGCGACAGCTCGTCAGTCACCCTCTGGACATGGCGAGAGGAGGATGCACTGAACTTTACTCCTTACAAATGCCCAGAACATGCCTTTTACCTTGGGAATCCTTTAGAACAAGGTCACACAGTTATGGCACTAAACACACAATGCACTATACACTTCACAGAAAATCACTGTCACTGACACTGCTCAAAGTTGCTATGAATTCTTTGAAGAGACGGCCATTAGCAGTGGTTGACACAGAGCAGGGGTCCATAAGCCGGTCTTGCCACAAACTTTACACTTCACTTGTATAATTATCCAGCAAAATTGGTTCACTGTGCCATGCATGTGTTCTGGGTATCAAGTTCTATCTACAGGAGCGAACACAAACACCTGTAGAGTTTTCGTAGGTTCTATTTACTGGATAAACAGATATGTACACAAGGCAGGTGGCGCTCCTTACTCTGTCTGGGGGTCAACTAGCCTTTCGGGCGACATGTGGTAAGTGATACATTAGCAGTTTCCATATGTCGCCAGGCACATTAATTAAGCGTGTGGGACATGGTAAATACATTGCCACACGCTGCTAGCTAGGCTGAATAAATAGTGTATATAAATGGAGCACATACATAATATACATACAGCATACATAATATACATACATAATATACAATACATACAGCATACATAATATACATACAGTATTGGTGTAGTCTTCTAAAGCTATTGATCAGCGTGCTTAAATTTATATGTGAAAGAGGGCTAGCTCTTCCTGGAGGTGATGAAATAATTGGATCTCCTCATAATGGAAATTACTTGGGATTACTAGATCTTTTGGCCGAGTATGATGATTTCCTCAGGCAATACATCCAGAATCATGCTAATCGTGGCACTGGTCATACAAACTATGGTAATTGTCTTCAACCATCTGTGAAGAAATTGTCAGACTAATGGGCAATGAAGTACTGAAAGAAATTATCTCACGTATAAAGCTCTCAAAATATTACTCAATTTCTCTAGATTCCACCCCTGATGAAGGCCATATTGATGAACTAACTCTGATAATCAGATACTTGGAGCATGACACACCTGTTGAGAGATTTGTGAAATTCTTGCCAAATCAAGGACACAAGGCTCAAGAAATGTTTGAAGGATTAATGAAGTTTCTTGCAGACAATGACATTGACATTCAAAATGGTCGTGGGCAATCTTATGATAATGCAACATCTATGAGTGGAAGGTACAATGGTCTGCAAGCCAAAGTTGTAGCTGAAATCATCATGCAATTTGGATACCCTGTGTTAGTCATTCATTAAACTTGGTTGGAAAAGTTGCAGCTGAATGTTGTCAAGAAGCTATCTCATTTTTTTTTATTCTCTTGAGGCAATTTATGTGTTTTTCACAGCTTCTACACATCGTTATGCAATTCTTAGTGATTTATTGAAAACTGTAGCGTCTGGCCCGGTATCTGTGCCAAAGAGGATTTTCACAACAAGATGGTCCTGTCAAGCAGTTGCAGTGAAAACAGTTGTCCAAGGTTATCCCCCAATCCGTGAAGCACTTGCTAAAATAGCGAGATGTGAAAATGAGACGAGCAAAACATGTTATGAAGCCAATGGTCTCCATGATAAGATGTGCAAGTTAGAGACTGCTATTTATGCTGTGTTTTGGCATGACATTCTTGGCAGAGTTGATGCAACAAGCCATGCATTGCAAGATCCTAAACTCGATTTGAACACAGCAGTAGCAATGCTGAAGTCCTTGGAATGTTTTGTACGAGAAAAAAGAGATTGCTTCCATGTTTATGAGAAGAAGGGAAGGGAAATGTCAGAAACTGGGGATTATTCACAGACACGCAAGCATCAACGTAATGTACGACTCAATTCATTGGATTATGGACGATCAGAAGAAGCAGCCCTCTCGCAGTCAGAAAAATTTCGGGCTCAGAATTTCCTTCCAGCAATTTATCAGTTCCTGAGTTCACTGGATCAACGGTTAAAGGCCTATGAGGAAACCTGTTCACTTTTCGGGTTCTTATCTAAACTGGAGTCAATGAATTGTGACGAAATTGAAGCAGCTGCAGCAAAATTGGTTGCTGAGTTCAAAAATGATTTGGATCAAGCACTTGGAGTTGAACTTGTGCAGCTTACAGCATTCTTCACTCAATTTTTTGAAGACGAAGATGATGAGAAAGGGAGGGCACATTACCTTTACAAGCTGTTGATAGACAAGAAAGTTGTAGATACATTTCCAAATGTTGAAATAATGTTACGGATGTACTTGGTGCTCATGGTTACAAATTGTTCTGGAGAAAGTTCTTTCAGTAAAATGAAGTTTATTAAAAACAGACTTCGTACTACAATGTGTCATGATAGGCTCAGCCACCTGGCTTTGATGAGTATCGAATATGACATCCTCAGAGAGATTGACTTCGAAAAGTTGATCAAAAACTTTGCAGCGGCCAGGTCACGTAAAGTGCCTGGTCTGTAAATAAAGGTAATGTTTATTTTCTATTTTGCAACTGATCAATGTTTGTGTTCAATATATCCATCATCCATGGTCGATGGCGGTTATTTTTATTAAAATTCTTGTTTTTTCCAACATGTTCATACTTTTGTTATAATTTTATCAAATTCATTAAATTGTTTATTTGTTTTACTATTGGATGCAAAACTTCAATTTTATTTATAGTTGAGTGAATACTTATTCTGAATCTATCTGACCTTGGACTTAAAGAAGCCTATACATGCATTCTTAAACAGAACCATTATTTGAATAGAGGTTTATCTCATTACTAATGCAAAGAATCTTCTCTCTGTAATAACTAATAATATATTCTTTTCTGTGAAGTTTCTTGAAAATTTTTGACATGTGCGATAGTAGCTATATCAGGGCTGGTCGACTTGAAACCACATGAATGACTCCAGTCATGTCTCACTTTTGTGTGTGTGTGTGTGTTGGGAATTTGTACACCATCAATAAATATACAGTTAATTAAACAATTTTCAATGTTGTAATTTCCTCAATATAACTACATATGGCTTCAAAATTCTCCAAAGAAGTGTTCAAATTTCAAAATTTTCCCGGGGCGCCCCAGAACTCCAAATGTTTAGGCTCGCTTCACTCGCCACCCCACCCTCTTGAGTAGTTATAATGAGGGGGGGCCTCCACAAAGAGGCTGCCCATGGGCCTCCACAGATCTAACTCGGGCACTGGGAGAAAGGAAACTCACAATGCGCTCTCTGTAATCATATTGTATTGGATGTACAGTGCAGCTTGATGCTGGGAAATGGCAGCGTGGTTACAAGCATGGAGTAGAGAGAACTGGTTCGAGAGCGTGCTCAGAGGAGGTGTTGCTTGCTGCGTGGCTGTAGGTAGAAGAAGGGGCAGGTCACGGCGAGGTGAGGTCTTATATAGCGGATGTAGGCGTGGCTTCATAGTTGACCTCCGCTATGTTAGGCGGCGCTAGTAGCCGACCTTAGGCTACGAGGCGTTGGCTGGGGAATTCGAACAAATGGCAGTTGTAGTTGTAGGGGAAATTTCCACTACAATACTCCCCCTTCCCTCCAGGCGATGCAAGAGACTTGTTGTCAGTAGGGTTGTATCCCGCATGTGAGACATAACTATAACAAGACGGATCTTGCATGAAGAATATTTATATATATAGGAAGAATATTTAGTAAGAGAGTATAAGAGAGAAAGACTTTGGTAGCGTGGCCGATGTTGGTTATTTAGTCTGGACTTACACTTATCATATCTTATATGTCAATACACATCTATTACGTCTTAAGGGCGACTTCTCAAACACCGCTTCGTTACAACTCTTTATTAATTACGAACATGACATGGACACATTAATAACACCTTCTATTGAAGTTACTAGGACATTATATTTACGTTACTAGGACATCATATTACGTTACTAGACACTCTGATTCTCGGACACGAACATGAAATGAATACACTTCCCACGTAAGTAACTCATCCCATGGAAAGCTCTGACAAAAACTCACGTGACCTGGGGAAGGCCTAGCAGGGAGACTGCTTAGCTGGAACACTGGTGTCGGGAGGGCGACTGCTTAGCTGGGACACCGGAGGGAAGTCGGGGAGGGAAGTCCTGCATGACTCTCCTCCCGTGAGCGGGACTCGGCTGTGGTGGACCTCCTCCTCCGATCCCTGTGTGTCTCTCTGTCTGACTCCCTCTCGCCGCTCCCCTGAGGGAGGGCTACGAGCGGGACTCGGGACGTGGTAGCTGGCCCTTCTTGGTTACAAGACACACTCTCTCTCTGTCTCTCTCTCTCTGGGGAGAGGGAGGACTAGGACGTCCTATATATTGGGAGGTGAGCCGTCAGGTTGAGCTGATCGGGGGCGGCGGCGAAGGGTCTTCTTACATTTGCCCTCGCTAATGTAGGGTCAGGTCTGGACTTTTTCAGAGACTATAAGTTGTATATTCTGGAGAAATCTTCAGATGGGGCCGTGTGACATGAGAGGCCCTGGTTGATTTGTGGCCCCTTGACTTGGGCTCGAGGGTTACATTTGACCTGGCTAATGTGAGGTCAGGTCTGGACTTCTTCTGCGATGTAGGTTATTGTGTATATTGGGAGAGAGTCGGCCGGTGCCTTCTTACATGTTTGTTGGGGCCGTGTGACATGGGAGGGGAGCCAGTTGATTTGTAACTCCTTGAGTTGTTGCAAGGGTACCCTTACATTTGACCCCCCTAATGTCGGGTCAAGTCTGGACTGTTTCTGAGATGTAAGCTGTGGTCTGACAACCCATCACTACATAACGGGCGAGGGTGTGGATGAGCCGACCAGGACGGGAGATAACTTTGTCTAGAGACATGAGATCTGTGGGAGAAGCAGAGGGAGAAGGAGGGTTGTGGATAAGAGAAGGTTGAACAGGCGAGGAATGTGGTGCTTCTCTCGCAGCAGGTACACAGTCCTCATTAGCGCCTGGTGGGGTGTGTGGGTCCGCCTCAGGAGCAGGGGCCACATCAGGAGGAGGGTCCATGACAGCAGCAGGGTGCAAGACAGGTGCAGTGGGTACCTGAGGAAGAAAAGAGGGTGCCAAGAAATGTTGTGAGCGAGGTGGTGCTGCAAAGGGTAATGGTGGGCAGACTGGCGGAGGAGGTGCAGGATGAATGTGTTCAGGGCGGTTGGAAGGCTGGCGTGGAGCAGTAGCCTTGAAAGCAGAAACCGCCTGACGTAGTGTTTGTAGTAGGTCGTGACGGGCAGCAGGAGTGAAGTGGTCAAGGTCAGAAGTAAGGCGTGTGATGTGCTGTTTGATAGTGGTGGTGGTTATGGCGCCTACCCGTCTCAGTCGATGTCACTTTGCCGTGTGGTTGCAGGGAGCCTCACAGCGTCGAGCGTTGGCACCAAAACGTTGATGGTACCAACAGGGGGTAGATACACTGTGCTGGGGGCTGGGGGCGGCGTCTGAGGTAGGACGGATGTGTTGGGGTCGGTAGGACGTGGTGCTTGGGGCAGCAGGAAGAGGAGCATCTGCATGCTTAGAGGAGCAGAGCTGCTCTAGGGTGTCTAACTTGCGGTGTAGGGACTGTAGCTGTAGAGCCGATGAGAGCTGCCTCCTTGTGGATTAGCCAGTCTTCAATGTTGTGATTGAAGACTGGGAGAGAGATCAGTTTCTCCTCCATCCTGTGTGAGTGCGATTCTCCGGGGATCACCATTTGTGGGGCTTCGAGATGTTGTCTCACACTCAGGATGGGTTGGAGAAAAGAAACTCACAATGCGCTCTCTGTATACATATTGAACTGAATGAACAGTGCAGCTTGGTGCTGGGAAGTGGTAGTATGGTTACAAGCGAGGAGTAGAGAGAGCTGGTTGGTGAGGGTGCTCAGAGGAGGTGTTGCTTGCTGCGTGGCTGTAGGTAGAAGAAGGGACAGGTCACGGCGAGGTGAGGTCTTATATAGCGGAGGTAGGTGTGGCTTGATAGTTGACCTCCACTATGTTAGGCGGCGCTAGTAGCCGTCCTTAGACCACAAGGCGTTGGCTGGGGAATTCGAAAAGGGGTCGGGTAGTCAGCGACAAACGGCAGTTGTAGTTGTAGGGGAAATTTGCACTACAAGATAACACAAAAGATAGCTCCACACTCACACGGAACCACATCCTCACTGCTCCTTTCACTCCAACAGAAGTAAAAAAAGCACTCGACAGAACCAAAGAGAAAACACCAGGTGACGCAACATAGGTCAAGCAATCCTCAAGCACCTGCCCCCAGAAACAGTCAAAGCCATTACATACCTCTACAACACCCAACTGGCTACAGGATACTTCCCAAAACTCTTTAAAACAGCCACAGCCATCATGATATCTAAACCAAACAAAAACCCAACAGACCCACAAAACTCTAGACCAATCAGCATACTAGAAGTCCTAGGCAAAACTTTTGAAAGTCTATTCAACACTCGCCTCAGACACCACCTTGAAGATGAACAACTACTGTCCCACAAGCAGATGGTGCATCCTATAGTGCTAAGAGAGTTGTGCAACGAGCTTGCCGAGCCCCTGAAGATCCTGTTTTGTAAATGCCTGGATGAACAAATGGTCCCCAGTGAATGGAAAGTGGCTTATGTGAGTCCCATCTTCAAGAAGGACGATCGTCACTCCACGAACAACTATAGACCAATGAGCCTGACCAGCATAATATGTAAATTTATAGTTGAGTCTGGATTTACGCGGTTTTTGTTTACGCGTTCTGTCATTTACGCGGTACTTTGCCAGAAGCGGGATGCTTGATTTACGCGGTAAATTTGATCATTTATGCGGAGAGCGACTGGCGGTCCTGCCGCGCCGTTCCATGTTGGGTAAGCGGCGCGAGTAGGTTGCGCAGTGTATGTGTCTGTTGCGTTATCGGTGACATCATATGACGTATCGGACTGTGATTGGGACACGCATCCTTACTTTCCTCCGCCGCTAGCTGTGATTGGTTTAATCTAATATGACGTGCCCTGCCGCGGTAGGGATGAAGCCGCTTGACCAAGCCTTCTCAGTTACGATCCTCGCAGTCACCCCGAATATACTGTGTTCTATTGTTCTGATAATCTCGCTAATCTCGTAAGAATGGCTTCCACTGGACCTCCACCACCATAGAAAAAGTTGCATTACCTGGACCCAGCCGCCCCAAGCCAAAGAAGATTCGACGTGCCCTGAGTTATGAGGTGAAGTACAATATAATACAAGAGTTAGAAAAAGGAACAAGACAGGTTGATCTCGCGCGCCAGCATGGTGTTAACGAATCTACGACCCAGCCGATCAAGAAGGATGCAGCCAAGATAAAAGAACACATGAACATCACAAAGTCTGCAGGTGCTTCAATGGCGAAGTACTGGCAGAACAAGGTGCTTCTCAAGACGCAGAATTTACTTGTGAGCTACTTGATTCGTCAGGCACGACGGAACATGGAGGTGGACACGCGGTCGGTTCAAGAGTACGCACGTGAACTGTACGTAGCAGTTGCACGTAAGATGGGAA